GTAGAGGGATTCTGTGGTGGGCGTACACCAAATCCAGGGGGAGGGGCTGTGGCTTTAGGAGCTTCTTTAACATCCTAAAATTATTATAATCACATCAAAATTTATACAATAAGTTTAAAAACCTTTTTAGATTTCTTTGTCGTCTTCTTTGGTTCAAAAAGAACAAGTTCTTCTTTCTCCTGTCGAGAGTGAGCTACTATCATTTCCATGTTGCCATGGTGATGTCTCTCCTCCACTACGGCTGTCCAGCAGAGCAGAAACTCTCGTATGAAATCCTGATGAGACTTTTTACCTAAAAGACCCTCCAGGTAGTCTTCTACTTCAGCCTTAGTATCCATAGCAACTAGATACCTGTTGAATAATTTTAAAATTTATAAAAATACAATAATTATCATAAAAATATGAAATCAATAAAATATTTGGCATTATGATTAAAACTATGAATTGAAGCATGCAGGTTAAACCACAAAAATTAGGCTAAATAATCAACTGACAACAGTCAAATATATATATCTCATAATTATGACATCATCCTTTGATGTGGTCAGGTTTATATTCAGACCTGCCATTCAGAAATGCTGTCATCATTATGAAATATATCCTATATAACATACTAAACAGGTCTATATACAAAAGATATAGACCTTTAGTGGGTGTCCTCAGATGTGATATAGCCCAAGGGCCGCAGGCCCGAGGGCTATATCACATCCTTGGACACCCACCTCAGGTCTATATTTTTAGTTGTATATAGATCTGTTTAGTATGATATATAATACACACATATATATATATATACGTGTAGCCAATAAAAATTAGTGACTGAATAATTCTACACAATACTGCTCTAGTTTATTAACTAACTCTACTACTCCTTTATCAACTGGCAGCTGCAGCTGACTGGATAATCCTTCAGCTAACCATCTCTTTAGATCAGACTCCATTATTAATCTACTAGATCTAGCCACACCTACAATTATATCTACACATAATATACATGTACATGTACAATCATAGATCCGTATCTGGTACAATGTACAATGTGTTATTCTGTTGCTTCATTCATAGATCTATGGTTCATTCCCTCCCCAAAAGGTTATTCAAGTCCACTCTGATGAAATAACCTGCTATGACTTTTTTAATATAGACTATGTTTAATGAAATTTTGATAAATGATACATGGTGTGATGGTGTGATCCGGCTCTGCCATGAAAGGTTAGAGTTGCCATGATTAGAACTTAGAAGTACTTTTTGTAGATGTGGGTCAGCAGCATCTGTAGCATTTATAACATATCCATACTCACTTCTGTTTATCTATCTCTCTCACTCCCAGAGAACTCCCACGCAGGCCCATATGCTATACTGATCACGAATGGTATAAATAAATCATACACAAAATAAAATGGCAAAAACAATACAACAGCTGCTATAACATAAAAGTACTGCTAGATGTCAATAGCTACAGCGTATAGCTACAAAAAATACATTAACAGCTATTAAAATAATAATTGCAATCAACTAAAATATAACAATGTCAAAGAAGAAAACACCAACTGGGTGACCGCGGACGACGTGGCGGCGGCAAGACTACTGTTGGATGTGCCCTTAAAGCAGCCTCTTTAGCTAGCATCCTTGCACGCTGCTGATCAAGAGCAATTTTTCTTTTAGTTATATCCTTTATGCATTTGAAATTAATGTAAAAAGTATTATATACTTACTGTCTGAAGCTGTTGTACTCTTTCACTTTCTCTTCTATTTGCTTCTGCTTCCCTTTCATTTTTTTCTTTGTCTTCTTTATTTATTTCCTCTTTCTCTTTCACCCATGCCTCTCTATCCATCTTTTTTATATTTTCTTGAAGCTTTTCTGAATATGTCTCATCCACTTTAGGTGCATCTGAAAGTTGCAGTGTGCTGTCTTGTACTGGAGTTTCCTATAACCAAAAAAGTCAATTAATAAAAACAAAACAATTATACTGACTTCAATACTGAATGCTTCAAGTAACTCCTCTGAAGTATAGCTTTCTGTTAAAATTGCCACCACTCCCTTAACAAAATTGTTTTGGGCATCGGTACTTTTGTCTGGTGTGGCTTGAGAGCTGGTGGGCTTGATGAGTCGGCTTTCACTTATTTTAAAGAAGAGATTCATTTCTCTAGCTCGTAAGGAGCAAGCCATCCAAAAGTCAGTAAACCAATCATCACGATCAGGAAGACGGTAAGGATCCTCGTTATCACATGATGGTCTGCTATCACCAACTGGTACCACAAGGATCCTTTCCACTATATTTTCCCTCACCCCAACATCTTCTATGAGAAACTTGTGAAAGCTGTCTTTCCATAGCTTTACACGACCTTCAAATCTTTTCTTTTTAAGAATTTTCCAGCTTTCTTTATCAGAATAAGGAGGTTCAGGCCCTGTATCTTCATCTCTTTCATCACGTCTTCCAATGTTTTCAGTGTTAGCAAACGTAAGAACAAGAACAGCATACTTCCAGAAGTTTTGCCCAAATGCATGCGTTATTTTCACTATGGCACGTCTGTCTTCCTCTTTTAAGCGGTTGTTGGTCATTTTAGTACAATACAATACTAAACTGAGGTTTTGACATTTTTTCCTCATATCTTTTAGGTATAAATCTTCATTTTCTGTGGCGTCTTGCAGGCCAGGTGAATCAAACACAGTGACTGGTACACCTTCAATATCTGCTTTATACTCTGCAACTTGTGTTGTACATCTCTCAGTACCAGCTCCCTCTTTAGCAACATGTTTCCCCAGGATTCCATTGACTAGTGTGGACTTCCCTTCTCCTGTCTTTCCTGTCACTAGTAGCCGCAACTCTTTGTTGTAATCATCTCTGCCCCAAAATGCCTTTATTCTTGACTCCAATTTCGAAAAGACTAATTCTGACTTGGCCGCCATCTATTGGCAAAGCTTGACCCAAATGACCTCTATATACCGGTGTGTATATTATATATACATGTATGGTAGTGGTACCACTAATTTATGATGGTACCACCCATGCGGAAGATCTACAGTGAGGTGGTACGACCACTGATTCATGTGGTGTGATACGATAGATGTAGGTGTTATAAACCATTCATGAATAATTCCCTTTGATGTTAATGAGAAACACGACTCTATGAGGAACATACGATGCATAGTATTAACCTGTGATTAAAATAAATGGAAACATTGAAATTTTATTATAGACTATGATACATAACTGGGGATGAAATCAAGATTGGAAACTGATAATGCCATTTTTACTGACTGTGTGATCATGCAATTTAGTGGGCAGTATATTGATGGGCATGCGCTTTAAGCTGATGATATCAGACATTAAGATGATACTTTTCTCTTTGTTTTGTATCCTTAGTTCTCTTGGGAGAGGTACAATTTGGAAACTAAACTTACATGTAAATTCAATTATTAATTCCTATTTATACAATGACTCATCCAGTTCTTTCAGTACTCACTTTAGGAGGGCTGACAGGTACCATTGGGTTACAAAGGAAGGAGTGAGAGTCTTCATAAACCTCACGTCTTTTTGAAGGAGAGCCTGAAGTAATGGCATCGGCATCTTCCTCCATTTTTTCATCTAAAAATAAACAAAAATATTAAATTCAGATTTTTCTTGATCTACCATTTAATGATTGGTTCATCTTCTATTATCCTCCGACCAGCAAAATCAATCGTGACCTTCTTTGATTTACGATCGTGTTTCTGTTGATGATACTTCTCTTCTTTTTCTTTCAATTCCTTTCTTTCTTTTTCAGATACCCACCTAACAATGGAATGGTGCCTTATATAGACTGTATACTGTACTGTAGAGTGAAGTTACAAGTATTAAGACACTTCTAAAATAATTATAAAAATAATTCATTAAAAAATTCAAATTTGATCAGAATCAGCTCAAACTTTAGGCACAGACTAAGGACATGTATACGTGCCAGGACAAATTATAAAAATAGAGAATTCTCTCCTTTTCATTTTTGATGAAATTTGGCCAAAATTCCTGTACTATATAGTACAGGGACTTTTGCCCAATTTCGGAGCAACTTTAAAAATTTGTAAAAAATTCAATTTTGATC